AAGCAGTTTCTACCTGCTACACTCTGTGGACACGCCATGATGAATAATAAATTTGTCACGTACCTCAAGACTTTATTTGAAACACCTTAAGAAGTTTAATAAATCCAATAAAACTCTATCACTATCAGAGATGAAAAAGAGTTTAAATAAGATTTTTTTTCAATAAACAAAGACTAGAAAGTTTGTTTTCTTAAAGAGTTCGCTTTGATGTCACTTCCTGTTTCACTTTGCTGAGCCTAATTCAAGAGAAAATGTGCCAGTTATGAGACAAAATGGATAAAATCATGTGTGTTGTGCTAATTTTCTTAAATATAAATATGTTTTCTTTGACTTTTTTGTATTTGAAAGATAAGCATGTCACAGACCCTTTAAGCATGTCACCTTCAGTTGCTATGAAAATGCTGTTTATATGTATAAATCAAAATAAACTTGATTTCATATCACAGACATTTCTAAACGTCTTGAACTTGGCGTCTGCTCGTCATCACAACAGCTTCATGTTACAGCCTGGCTTCTGTCTGTAAAACACTTAGTAAGAACTTGATAAAACTCTTTATTAGTTCAGACCATTTCTACCATTCAAACACGTTTGTGACTCACTCCTCTCTTTGTTTTGGTTCTCACAATGTTTCTCCACGTCTCTATCATCAGTCATCTGTGGGCATTAAGGCATAATATTTGTTTGCCAAAAACATAACTGGTATGCAGGTTTTGTTGCAGACTTTGTAATGATCTTGAATGTGTACTACTTCATTCAAACCTTATGATGTCAGAAATAATGTAAAATACTCTCATAGTAAAGCCTTGCACGCTGCAACAATTCTCAGAAAATATTTGAGCTGTTTTCTATGTTTGTAGCTGTTTGAAAATTAAATATTTTTTTATTTTTGTAAATAATTTCTAATTTTCTGTAATTATATTCCAAGGTCAAAATACTTCAGAAGCACCACAGCAGGAGAACATTATACAATAGAGGTATGAGTTAATGCATATGAGTTGTTTTTAGTTTTCAAATGATAATATTTTACTTCAATGTGTCTTTTAATTTTGCAGTTTGAAAATCTGGTAGAAAGTGACGAGGTGAGTCTGGTTTTATATTTTTAGGCTCTTAGTATTTGGAATACGTTGTAAAATATGTAAGACTTTCTAAGGACTATAATCACTGTTTGCCCCTGAGCAGTTCAATCTGTATGGAAAACAATAGAATGCCCTTATCTCTGCACTGAGGTGGCAGTTTTCTGTCTTTAAGGGAAATGATGCAGCAGAGGAGATTTATTTTACATTAAAATTCAAAGGGTGATTAAATGTTTTTGTTGTGTTTCAGGCTGAAAGCCCACAGCCCTGCCCAAGGTAAGCAACCTGCAGTCTGAAGGAGGAATCCTGAGGATTCTTCAGCCTTTAAGGGATCGTTTAGAAACAACTAGTGTCCTACCTGTTGCAGATAACCCTGTACATGTAAAACACAATTTAACTCCCGCTAGACCGACAAGCTAATGGCTCATCCAAGTGCTACAAAGAATAAAGTGAATTGACGTTGTCAGGGGTGTCACTAGGTTTTAAGGACAAGGGGGGCTTCGCCCACAGGAGACACACAGAATTTATATACAGCGGGTAAAATAAGTATTGAACACGTCACCATTTTTCTCAGTAAATATATTACTAGAGGTGCTAATGACATGAAATTTTCACCAGATG